ACACATAATTATTTATTTTCAAACACACACACACACACACACATTAATTAAAATATGTAAAAAAAATATAATTAAAAATAGTCGCTCTTTACCATTGCGAATATTCTTTTTATTGCCGGTGAGTCACAAACACTTGGCAAGTTTGCTCCGATCTGTTGAGATGACGAGTGCAAGTCATTAGATTCTGAATTTTGTAGATCAGCAACCGATCGCAACTTCCACGACTACCATCACTATTCACAGGTGCACATGCAATATAAGTTAGAATTTTAAATAAATTCAAGATATTTTGATTTAATAATTCTCACAAAATGAAGTATCTATAAGTTCTGAAATATCTATAAAAATTTCCTTTCCTTTCAATTTCTAAAAAAAAGAAAAAGATGGTGCAGAAAGTTGAGAAAATGCAAGTGCTTTGCAGTGCGGATGCGGGCTTTATGTCCACGATACTTAAAATCAATTTGAGATCTCGGATGAAAAAAAATTAACCAATACATTGATTATTTCGGCCAATTGGGCAATTCTTTCTCTGCCCGAAATCTCGAATTTATTTTTAGCACGGTGAACGCAAAAGCTTTAGATTTGCACGTGACATCGATCAGCTGTTGAAACCTATCCTTGTCGTTCATTCAAGATGGCGTCCTCCACAGTGGCGGCCGCCACAGTACGAGCTGTAAAAGGAAGGAAAATTTTTCCGACTCGCGCTGCACTCACCTTGGTTAGCGTATGATTAATTAGCTGCATACAATTATCTTTCACACATTTCTTTTTTTTTGCATGAATAATCATTTATCCAATTTATTCCATATCCAATGTATTTCACATTGCGACGTATCCATATATGAAGATAAGCTCGAAAAATGATGCAAAATACATTCGAATTTGCTTAACAATTCATCGCAAATGCGATCGCAACGTGTTTTAGTTTTCACTGCGTAATTGCCCCTGTCATGCTTATTATTTCGCACCATCATGACACAATGGATTATAACCTTATCATTTTCAAGAATACATTTTCATGTAAATACTGATGAGGAAATATTTTTATGCTTCAGACACCCAATGCTGTCAAAAAGATCAAGGAGATTTTGAAGGATAAGAGCGAATATGTAAGTGCATATGTAATGCCTGAATTATATAACGGTAATTGAGAAATACATAATTCTATAATTAGAACATGTAAAAATTAATGAGAAGAATTTTTTAAGCAAAAATATTTATTAAAATTTAATATATATAAAAATTAATGGTTTGCTTGATTATAGATTGGTCTTAAGGTCGGAGTACGGCAACGTGGATGTAACGGTTTGAGTTATACTCTAGACTATGCAAAAGAAAAATCCAAGCTTGATGAGGAAGTAGTTCAAGATGGTGTTCGTATATTCATCGATAGAAAGGCGCAGCTATCTCTTCTTGGAACAGAAATGGATTATACTGAGAACAAATTAAGTTCTGAATTTATATTCAATAATCCGAATGTTAAAGGGACATGTGGATGTGGAGAAAGTTTTTCACTTTAGTAAAATTTAATGTAACATTATTATAGTCCTATCATCATAGTTTATGTAATATGTAATTATATCGAGTTAGTTAAATTTAGGCTCTTCAAAATGCCTTGTGATATTTGAGAGCACACTTCTATCTTTTCTTATAGCGGAAGAACTGAATCTATGATGCAAAATGTATGTAACAATCGTCACAACTTAGCTAATCATTTTCCATAAATTTTGTATATATCTTATCTATATCACTACATGTGTATTTTATCATATATATTAATAACATATGTTTTTTGTTTATTATAAGATAATGATATAGATAATGGTATTATAAGATAATCTGATTAAATTTTTTATTTTGTCTTTTTCTTTTAAAGATTTCTACTTTTATATATTTTATGTAGACTTTAGAATTTATTTCAAACAATTTCTTAATTAACCAAAAACATGGATAAGCCAGAAACACGGATATCTAATATAAATCAACATTTAATATAAAAAAAGAAATATTTAATCTAGAGAAATATAATACAAGAAATATAAAATTTATAATATAAAAAGAGAGAGGTGAAATGAAAATAATGAAAGTGAAAAGTGCATTTTTCGTTTTGCGAATTTTCTTCAATTTTTTTTTAATAAAAATTATGGCTGATTTTTAAAGATACTCATGTGAAGTGAGTAAAAATGAAAACATTTTTCTGATAATACAACATCCAACGTATCTTTATTACGAATGTGTCAGTAGTTTCATGATATTTCTGAGAATATTTAAATTCGCTCAGTTTGTCCGACCATCTTTTGATTTTTTTCCAGGATGATGCGTATGATTCGTCGATTTTTATGCAAGTTGTCTCATGTCAACATAATTGAAATTCTTATCTCTCTCGAAATAACATTGATTTTTCGTATACCGTATATATCGATATATCGCCACAGAAGGTTGTCTAAAATTTGGGTTACTTGCTTATTTATTTAAATCCTTGAATATATTTCTGATTAAATTAATTCATGTCGTATCAAAAGTATTTCTGTCGCAAGAGAACTACGCGTATAAATCGCCGAAAAATCGTCTACTCCGAAATACAGATGAGTTGTCGCGTAGGGGTACGAGAGCGATTTTTAATATTTATGAAAAGCGCGATATGCTAATCCATGAGCGAGACGCGGGTCGGTGTCTCAGGTAGAAAGTGATGCATGGCCAATTGTTAATTAACGTGTTAACCGAATTCTTTGCGTGGAAATTCTGGAGATGCCACGAGGCGGATCCAACGTCCACCCACGCGCATATATTTAGATTCGGTTTTATCCCTTTTTTATCTTTTTTTTTCTCTCTCTTTTATGAGCGTCGACTCATTCCGGGTGTGAGGACACCCGAATCATCCTGTCAGACTGTCATGAGGTCTTCCTCCCTCTCCCGTTTCTTTCTCAAGTCCCGTATTCTCCGGCCACATGGTGTTTACGACGGTACAACTTGCGAAATCGCAATTTTCACAACGCTAATGGTATCGCGATCGGGATATCTTACCGGCCTTGCACGGCCCTCGTGAATTGGAAATCTGCCGATGAATCCACTGAAATTTATTTGACACTTCTCTCGCATAGATAAGTAATCCCATACATCGCAGAATTAATAAATAAACATCTCCGCACTTTCTTTTATGTACATTCTAACATTCTTTCAGTAATTTAGGGCATCTCTCTAACAGTATATAATATCATATGGAATATTCTAAATATGCATATCTAGTACACTGAACATTCTTATAATATTTCTTAAATATGTATGTATTATTTCTCATATTTTGCATAATACACTCAGAAATTAATAGCGAATTTGGTTAATTTCTGCGTTAAAAGATATCTTTTAGATGTCTAATGTTTTTATTAATGTAGACGGTGAACACCTTAATATAGATTTAATTTATCTTTTATCTTTTTCTTATTTTAAAAATCAAAAAAAGATAAGAAGTTAATTAAATTAAGATCAGAGTTAATTTATATTGATTGAAACGCGAACATAAATGATTCTATACGGAAAGAATAGTTTTATTGGATATTAATCTGAAAAATAATTTTGTTCAATACGTTCAAATTAGTTGAAAACTCGGTTTGATGGAACTCTATAATTTTATGTATTTATATGGAAAAACATTTGAAGAGGTTAGAAGATTACGAATATATGAAATGTATATTATAATATAAACATAAATATAACCTAGTAAAAAATTTTCCATATTGTATACTTAGATATGAAAATATATAATTATATATAGAACATATTCTCACATAATTATGAGAACAAATACAATGTATTTTATTATTGTTCATAAATCACTGTTCATATAATAAAACGCATTACATTTTTTTAAAACAATTCAAATCTGCAATTAGATTATACAATATTCTTTATAAATAATTAATGAAATTCCACGTAAAAAATAAAGAAAAAGGAAAAATAAAGAATATATTAATTAAGTATATTGTATAACAATAATATATGATTATGTATAATATAGTATATATATATGTAGAATATTATATAATCTAATTACAAACTTGATATTTTCTAAGATATATGCAAAAAGAATTATTCTTCTTATATAACGGCAATTTACAAATAGCAATGTACATTGTATTTGTTCTCATAATAATATAATACATATTCTATACATAATTCTATATTTTATTCTATTTTATATTGTATACGAATATACATATATATTTTATATTTCATATTTTATTTTATATATATGTACATTTTTTTATATATATAAATAATAATATGGAAAATTATTTACCGGCACGATCTACGAAATTATAAAATAATTATGAATTTCTGTCTCAAGTGGGCTCAAGATTTTAATGTTTATGTCGAGTTTTGCAATTTCTGGAACGTAATTCCTGGAATTATTAATCGAGTAACATAAAATCTAGTGGTCGATAACTGACTCGTTATTCTTAGACTCGTCACAGAAGAAGTTGCATGAATCAGTTGATTTAGTCATCATACTTGAAACGACGTACGTACGATGTACGTCAATTTTACGTTAATTATCTTCATTTCTTATCATAGAAATCGTTATTGAAAATTATCATACATTAAGATTATTATCCGTATATTCGCGATGCAACATTGGTGACTACGAGAGGTCGAGATATCGAGAGGTGTCAGTTTGCAAAATATCTGCCAGATACTCGCGAGATGCAGGCTGTTAGAAGACAATCTAAGAGTGCACCGGATGTGCGCAAAGACAGGATGTAACGAGCGTGCGTTTGATGCGGATATTCGCCGAATAGTGAAACGACGTTTCCTTAACGTCGGCATAGAAATAATTTTTACGCGGTGATTAATGAGAGAAGAAAGTGTTTCTTGATGAAGTATGCTCCAGGAATTCGCATAGGTAAGAAGCGCCACGCGCCTCGGCCTCGGCCTCGGTCGTAGATGCGAATTCTTTAAATTATCACCAATGCTATTATCATTATTATTTCGGCTGCAGCCCGGCGCTTGAAACGTTGAGAGGATCATCGCGCGGACCATTCGATACTTTCTTTATTCTTCCTTTTCATTTATTTTTAACGTGGAGTTCCGTTCGCCGGACGAACGCCCCCCGTGAAAACGCATTCGGAATGCGTGGGTAACGTCGACGCGCGGGTCTCGTCTCGCCCGCGACCGCGGCCGCGGCCGCGGGGACGGGACGGGAGTGCCGGGAATAAAATTGGTGAGCTATCCGAGATGGGCATCCGAGAGAGGAGTCAATGTAATATGTTGACCGGCATAGGAATATCGAAGGACAGCGGCGATCCGCGGCGCCAAAATGGTAGGGGGGTACTGGCCGGAGATCCGGAGGATGGTATAAGAGAAGAAGGGATACGAAATCAGCGCCAGTTATATTGACTTTCCTTTAAGCGACACGCGCGTTACACACGTACACTCCGCGGGAGGATACACATTAAGTAAGTACACGCACTTGATTTATTTGTATCGACGTGAGTACGCGCCAAGAGTAATCCGCGCGCCTACCTATCGCGCCGCCCCGCGGCTGTACTCCTCTCGAGCCCAGTCCAGTCATCGTGGTACTCGAGTACCCGAGTACCCAAGTACCGAAAAAACCCGAAGTTACCGCTAACGTTTCGACCGCCTCGGCATCGGATGCTGTGGACGCCGAAAAACGCTTTCTTTATACACCTGCGTGTCAACTGTCGTTTTAATTGTTCGCGAGTGAAGGAAAGATTATATGCAGGCTGAAAAGTTTCGAGTACTTCTTCAGCGACGATTGTTTAACCAATTTGCAAAGACGCTTCTATTTTTATTAAAAAACGAAGGGATAGAAAAAATAGCATTAACTTTTATGGCATTAGCGCGCGACCGCGTGGAAAGAAGTTTTGCTGAAATATCTAAAAATATGATCAGATACAGATTTGAAAATGATTTTGTTGAATTATCAAAATAATTATAAAAGACACTTAAGCATGCTGATAACGCTGTAAAAATTTATGATATCCTAGTCTACTAGAACTAATCTAAATGTCTCACGTAATTATTTTGATGATTCAACAAAATTATGTTCAAACCTTTATGAGCAAATTTTTAGATATTTCAATAAAGTCATTCTTTCTATCAATAATCATTTAACATTTTTATATGAATTCTTTTTTAACTATCAAATAAATAAACGAGGCAACGAGGCAAAATGTTTAATTTTTACATTTTACTAGGACAATTGCCTTTGAATCTTTTCATTCAAAGATCTTTCATTTCAAAGATAGAAGATTGCTGATTATAATGCGCATAGCAAACAATCTCAAATTTATAGAAGTACTCTTTACAAGTATCAATTTTATTTTCTAAAAAAAAAAAAAAATGCATTAAAACAGAAACACCTGCGTTGAATTTTTTTATCCGGTGAAATGTAAGATTACGATCGCTGGCGACGAGAACTCGTTTACTCGCCATAGGTATCGGTATCTGCTTCCGAATTAATGTCGTGGAATGTAGGACTTAGAGATTTAACGTTAAGTGTCCGCACTTCCTTTCTCCGAGCGCACGAGCGCTCGCGTTTTCGAAAGACGGAAGACGAGAGTCCCTTCAAGATAAATTACAATTAAATACGGCCCACGTCGCCAGCGACTCTCCGATTAATCAATAATATTTTCTCGACCGCAACAACCGCGTGCAATAACCGCGTTCTCTCGACTCGCGGAGAAGGAAGAGCGCACCGAGATTAATGTGTTTCATCAATAAAAATTAATGGCCGCCGTGAGGGCACGCGTATGTGAGTCGGCGTGTCTAAAAATATCCCAGGAAAACGAGTCCCGTTCCTTCCGCGTACTTGCGAAACTCGAAAAGTACTAAGGAAGAATCGAGAGTTTCTACTCTAATTTTGATAGAAATGGATTTCAGTAAAAAACGAACAATTTTACGAAAACGCTGAAAAACACTTCTTTCTAATCGAAGACGATTAGACGGCGACCCGACAATTCGACTAGATACATCGTGACAAATTTTTCAAATATTGCATCGCGATTCACCTACTACAGGTCGTTATTTACTGGGCAATAGACGGATTCGTCTATTTCGTCCCTTGTTCACTCATTTTTTTTTTTTTGCAGCGTGAATAATTTATGAATGATTTAAACGTGAATACAAAAAAAAAAAACGCGCGCCAGATTTATGGGAGAGATCTAAGAAAGAGTCTGGCACGAAATCCATTTTAAAGGTCCGATCGCCCTCCGCGTGCTTCCGCCCGTCAAAATTGTTTCAAAATGCTAATCTCGGACGCCAAAACCCATGGTAGAACTTTTCCATAATTTATAAAGATATTTTGAAAAGGCCAATATAGTATTAATTAAGCAACAAAAGTAAATGCGGGTCGAGAAGATCCTCCTTTAGAACCTTGAATCGACCCAAGTCCAAAGACTTGAATCATCCAGCTTTTTTTGCACCGGTGTCATCATCTTTGCCGTAATTTCTTCGTTACCACACATCCGTAGGTCGTTCGTTCGGATACAAGTGGGATTAGGTAATCTCGCTCCGATCTCGAAGTGTTTTCTTCGAGCGCCGAATATGCGGATATACGTCGCTCTCGTGGACGAGTAACGAAAAATCGCCCCGATATACCTGAAATATTCATGAGGGTTATATACTTTGGAAAGTGCTATTTATCTCGCTCTACGTACGCCTCGGAGCCGTCTTCTCTCCTCAAGAATTCGCAAAATGCACGTGTAACATTTCGTGAAATCTGACCGAAATATCAGGACAGCCGTCGTATATCTTCAGTCCCAGGTTCGTTCGCGTTCGTCGAGTGCACTCGAGAGAAAAAGAAAATAATCGGAGCTTCCATTCAGCTTCACAAAACCGTCAGCTGGGTGAAGGAAAGCGAGCGAATGATTGATATCGATATAAATTAGATCGATCAGATTTTATATGGCACGAGATTCATTGATTGACAAATTTGATTAATTCAGCCATTTTTTTATTTTTCATATAACCGTGCATGTAATGTTTGGGCCTTTGGACTTTCGCTAAAGAAATTTCGATTCCCTTAAATTTCACGAACAGGAACATACGCTTTCATGACATAAAATCATTTAAAATCAATTTACCGAGTTTACCTGTACTCGGACGAAAAAAACATGACGTCGCGTCGTGACAACCGGACCTTCGACCTGTTAAACGACGGTAATAATGATAATGTTGCGCGAATTACATCAGATCCCGAGAGCGAATTTTGCGGAATAAATAAGGATAATACATACTGGTAATCTCCTCGGGTAATCTCGGGGATAAGATCATAAGAAGAATCGTGACGACCTTGCGAAGGTAGTTAAGCTACCTTCTGGAAGTGACATTTGCAAACTTATGTGGCAATCATAATTTGAACTTAATTAAATATAACCGCACGCGCACGCCGCAACGCGTAATTATGCGATTTAAAGTCGTCTTGAAACTATTTTTTAGGCGATCAGCCTGCGTTTCTTCATCGAAAATTTCACAATGTTAACACGCAGTTTTTATAATATCAAACAAGAGATGACAATTCTTTCCCGTTATATCGCATTTCATCACTCATTGTTTTCGTTTAATTAACATTTATTTTTATTCAAATGCTTGCTTCATATCTACATATATACATAAATCTTCACTTTATATAATATAGCTGAAGAAAATAAAAATGGAGATAATACTTTCCTATTTTTTTTATTGGGAATGCAAATAATCCAAATTAAGCTTACGGTCATTATGCGCATATAAAAGTTTCATCAAAGTCGTTTCCTCATCGAACACGAGAAGAATGTACAGCCGTCCGTGTCTGGAATGTTCGCGCGGAGAAATGTATTCTGCATAGCAGATAATTTTACTGGAAGTCATTTGCTAATTTGCGAAATGACGAAAAAGTGCATGATAATTTTATGATACAACGTGTGTCGCGCGCATTTCATTTAATTTTGCCCTCATAAACTCATTCGTCGGAAACGCATAACAGATATACGACACGTCGTTAATGACTCGGATCGCTTCGTTATGGTACATGCTATTTTAGTAGAACGACGTCTTCTTTTTGCCAAAAATTCAACCCGCGGCTTTTTCGTCATCTTCGCGATCGAAGACATTATCGCGCGTAGGTGCCACGTTATGGTAATGCGAAGTAATCAATTATATTATATATCGCAAAATTTCGCATTCCTTAGTGCGGACGTGTCGCTGTGATGCACGCTCTTCTTCCATGTATGGGGTTCCGTGAATTTGTTATTTATCTCGGTCCGTTATTTATTTCAGCGATTTGCAATTCGCACGGGTGTTGCCGGAAGTGCCTGAAAGGGGGAAATCGTCAAAAGTCGAGGCTAAGCGATGGGAGGACGCCCGGATGATGGGCCCCGACCTCGCTCATCTCTCCTCACGAATTAATATCTCATGTCGTTGCTTGACGCCAGTGGCAATGGCTCTTCAAGGCCGACGTAATTTCCTCCTTGAAGTGCCCGAGGATAATTAGTCGTATCCCTCGTGGGAAACGAAGAGTCCCCCGGGTGTCCCTCCGCGAAGAAGGAGCCCACATGAAAAAAACCCTCACTTTTTGACCGAGAGCTGCTTTCTCCTTTCCGCACGATGCATGTAATTAGTCGGCTATTACCACGTGCATCTTGCAATTAGTCAATTTCAAGACCCCCTCATTCTTACGTCAGCTACTATATAAATTTCGCTTCTCCTCTTTCTCCCCTTTTGCCTGAGGAAGTATTTTGGATTGGTGCGATCATACGTGTCATGTTGGAAAAGATCCGATTTAATAGCCGCGAATATAATTTTTGAGCAATAGTAATGATTTTATATATATTCTGGAGGTTTTAGGTATCTGACGTAAAATGTCGTAAAAATGTCTCATTTATCTTATTCGTCGATGTTGTATGAATCATGCGTCGTATATCCGGATTAATAAAACAGAAAAAGATTGGATTATAAGAATAAAGAAGGAATATTCCAGTTAGTTTTGTTAGATATGTGGTACTCAGTGATTCTATAAACTGAATCTTATTGATCCAATTTGCATTGTTTCTCAAGAAGCTTGTCTTTTCTGTACTAACTCTCCGTCTGCATTCTGGGTCCAATCCAAGTTTTTTACTATTCCAGACTTTCAAAAAAATCTGGAAAAATTCAGAGTTATTTTTCAACATCTCTATTATATTATCCAATAGTTTTTTAACTCAAATATTAAACTCTCTTCATTTAATCCATCCTCTCTTTACTTCCGAGAAATTTGAAAGTGAAATTTCAAGTTTGTGTAAAAAAAGATCTATAGATTGCAGACGAAGAGTTAATTTTTGTAAAGTCATAGGAAAAGAGTACGAGTGCGCTTTAACCGCAGGAAATGTATTAATTGTTAAGAAAATAATATTAAATCTCGCGCGTGTGCCAAGCGGCATCCGCAGTCCGAAAGAGGTCAATGGCGACTTGATTTTGT